TAGTACTTGCGAGACTTTTCTGGCAATAAATTTTGTTTAACGCCAAAGAAAATCCTTTTTTTCTTCTTTAACATTAACAGCCGCTTTTTGTAAACAAGTAAATTAAGGACGGCATGGCGAATCGATTTTGACATTAACTGTCAAACCAATGACTGTGATACCAACTATCTAAAGTTAAATTCGATCAAATTAAATATAAGGTATTTACAGAATTTTTGCAAAATAGATAAAATAGCATAAAGAACTCATGTCATAAGACCTTTTGTCGCACTCGTCTATTACAAATTGTCTGCGTGCGACAAAATGACGTCTTATGACATTAGTTCTTTAATATACTATAATAACCACACTTATGGAGACCATTTACCCAAATATAAAGAAACAACTATAATTATAGATTAGATTATAAACTAACATACTGTAGTTTTGTTATTTCCCCTATAAGCATTTGATCATAATTTATCGTAACTAAATTAATGTAAATTTAATAGTTGTAAGAGTTAAACGTACTATTAACAGACACCCTGGTAAAATTCCTGTAATAAAGGGATAACGCGTTGAGTCAATGTTTACTCTACGATAATTTTTAAGAGTTTTGCTTTTAAGAAATAAAACGTATCAGAGAGCGTTTAAGTGTTTTTTTTCGTTGAATTTTCCCTCAAGGCTGTACAACAACAACGTAGCGGAACAAATTCGTAACTATGTGTAGCAGTTATGGGTACGGAACCGTCGTATGCAAATTTATTAATTTATGATTTCATCTTCAGTAAAAAATCAAAAACCTCGTAACTGTAAAACCTTCATGATGTATTATTTAGTTAATGTTATGTCTTATGAGAGAATGGAAATTCATTTCATGATATAAAAAAATATAGAAATAGAACAAATGTGTTGTTTTATTCTTTACTCACAAAACCGACTAAAATATCCTAAAGTTGCCATTTTCTCTCTTTCTCGCCACAAATTTAAGGTTAATGAAGTCGATTTTGTGCCAATAATCTCAATAGGCGATCGCTAAAAATGCTTAGACAAACGCTCGTTAAAGTCCACTCAAGGTTACTCTTTAGCAGCAAGCAGCAGCAAAACGTTGCTGTTGCTGCAATAATAAAAGAGATCTTAGTGTGTATCTGCGGCAGGGCAGTCCGTGGTCGGTCGGCCTGCGTTTTAGACCAAGTTTCCTTATCAAGCTCTGCAATAATTACCTACGCTCCACGGTAATGCAGTGTTTGCCAAGTTGGACTGCAACGAATGCGTAATAAGAACACTGAGCATTGAAATAATATGAGGATGTGAATTTTTATGGAAGTCGTGTTTTGAAATTTTGTTAAATGCAGGTTTGATAAAGCATCACAAAAAAATGAAAAGATTTTCATGGTTTCGCCGATTTTCGATGTGAAAAAAAAACATGAAAAAAACCTTAAATCTTAAAAAATGGAGTAATTTTTCAAAATGAAATTTTGAGTAAAATGTATATTAATAATAAAGTGAAATGTAGAATATATTACATTTTTCATTATTGAAAATTTTGACCAAGACTAAAAAATCTGATTTCTTATTTTTTTGGTAGTTTCCACATTAGAAACCAATAGATTCTAAATTATGGGATTTTTCGGATATCTTCGTTAAAAATGGTCGTATTGGAAAAAAGCAATTTGAAGCTTGAAGTTTCTATAGAAACTATATACATATAGTTTCTATAGAAACTTCAAGCTTCAAATTGCATACATGTATATAGTTTTAAGATGTTTAGATGAAAAACGTGCAACGATCAATCTCAAACCACCAATGAATAAATAAATGTTCTACAAGAATTTGATATTGTTTTTTTTAAGAAAAAAAAATTACATACTCTACATGAATTTGAAAAATCATGAAAAAAACTGCTTTTGGTAGCTTCTTGAAAAATCAAGCGCTGAATCAAAAATATTAAAGGTAGTTACTTTTTTTAGGACCAAATCAAAACAAGTGCGGCCCTTATTGGTCAATTCGGTGGTGGTGGCGCGTGCATAGCGCGAGACTGTATTTACATTTACTAAATGTCATTTAGTGGCTAATTTTAGTCCATGAACTGGACTAAAAATATGAAAAAAACCATTTCAAAAAAAACAATGAAAAAAAAACCGGAAAAAAACGGAACGTTTTTTTTTTCAATTTGCATCTCTAATTATGTCATAATATCCAAGAAAACCATAGAAAAAGAAAATAAAAGAACATAATCCAAAAGACATTATTTAATTTATGATAATTTTAAATATTAATATTAGTTAATTGAAAAGTCCAAAAATAAACAAAACATAACTGTCATTTATCCACAGATTTTGTTCACATAATTTTTTGTAGAAAACCTGGGTTTGTAATTATTTTAACAAAGGAAAATATTTTAGCGAAAGTTTTGTAAAGGTAATATGCAATTTTGTAAGCAGATTATTTTGCAGAGTATTTCGTTAAAAAATTATACGTGATTTCAGGCAGTCAATCAAAACATTTCCCACTGACAACACGCATCAACAAGTTCAACTGACTTCAGCATCTGCAACTTATGTTTCTGCTTTCTTTATTCTAATTCGTAACGTGTTTGTTACAACTGTCCAGTGTTTATAATATATTACCAGAAATCTGTTATTATTCTTATTCGGTTTCCTTATACCTATTTAACAAGTGTGCGAAGTATCCGAAAAAAAGACCATCACTGGTTTTCAAACTGATATTAGAGGATACAGTGACATCTGTTAAAGTTACGAAGTAAATCAGTAAGTGTTGTAGTACCTAGTACTGATAATTATATTGTACCAAATTTCTTTATAATCTGATGATTTCAGAATGATGTGTTATTAAATTGTATGTATATTATTTTTGTGTTTTTGTATTTGTTAATTTTTTTATGAAATTGATTAATAAAGCAACTTTTTTATCAAAATTCTTTTCATTTGAGTTTCCAATTTCCAACGAATATTTTTGCTACTGGGTCTACAAAAAAGGTCCTTTTTTTAAATTTCAAGAATTATGGTTGAATTATAATTATCTATGGAAGATTTTATTATAAAATCTACAAAATGTTTGTTATAATTACAAACTAGGTACTTATTCAATTAGTTAACAGATTACAGTTGGTTGTAAACTTAACATAACGTTATGTGGACCTGAATTAACATACAATCTGGTTAATGATTGGTGACATTAATCTATTCATCTATGTATGGGTACCTTTTTTTATCTGAAGACCTCTTAACTTAGAGATAAATTGCCAAAACCAAACATCGTTATAATCTCGTTATTCCTGGAATTTTATGTTTATTTAATGTTTACATATAAAACTTACTTTTTCAAAATTTCCAGGAAAAACGATGTTTTTGTTTTTGTTGTAGGTAAGTTTATTTTAATACGTTGAAAACGTTTTTTTTTAATTTTCAAATTTTCTTTTAATGCAATTCAGATCCTTTCATTTTGCTGCAGCTTTTAGCGGTTTGGCAGCAGAACTAATTTTAGAAATAAAAGAAGTAAATATTTGCAGGAAATATAGCATATTTTCAGGAATGTTAGAAAATAATTGAACACATAAAAAACAAAAAAAATAAAGCAGGAAATATATGGGTGGTCGTAAAAATAAAGAGTGTACGGATTTGCAGGAATCATTAAAGTTTCGCAGGAAATATAACGAATGTACAGAATTTGTAAAGAAATACTTAAAAAAATCACAAATGAGCCTACGATTTTTGACGTTCAAAGAAAATTTAAACCAAGTATTGAAAAATAATCTACTCATTAAAATTAAGTCAAGTTATAAAAAAAATTGAGAACAATTCAATGTGTTATTAATCATTTCTGCACCGGTGAAAAAGTGGCCAAAATTCATAAAAAAAACTAATAAAGAAATCATTTTGAAATTTTAATACCATATTTTGCGGTATTAATCTTGATATTGCACAAATTTTAAAATTGATTAAATTCTTTTTTGTACGACCACTATGTAAAAGTCACATTTCGTAATGGCATCGTTGCTTAGAAAATAAATCTTTTCATTGGCAAGGCAAAACACGAATGTAAAGTGACATTTCTGTGTGAAAAAAAATTGACAGCATCGTTGACATTCGTTTCAAAATTTTTATTGTATTTGTATATGGGGCATTCCACGCCTAATCGGATACTCCTTGAAAGAGCTTTCTCAGAAAATTTCATATCAAATTTAAAAAAAAAACTGCTTTTTTTTTGTTTTTGAAGCGTTTTAAGTCAAGATTCATAATTTTTAGAGAATTTTTTTTTTAATTTTGAAAAATCGAAAAAAATAGTAATTATGGAAGGCCCACTACCGGACCAGCCTGAATAGTTGTTGAATAGATGGAAGTTGAAAATAAAAAATGTTCGCGAAAATCGAAGAAGACACATTTTTAAAAACACGATTTGAACTTTAAAATTTTATATAGAATGAACATTTTGATTTGGACCATATTTTAAGGTCAAAAAAATCTCAAAATTTACTGAGGAATCAAAAAAAATTTTTTAAAACCATCCGATTTGGCGTGGAATGCCCCATATGTATGTCTAAATATCATTTAGAACACAATTAATTGTGTTTGTATAATAAATTCCAATTTTAGTGCCTCTATTTAAATTGAGAAGGTAGGTTTATTGATTTTAAGTAACTAAAAGAATAAGATAAATGTAATTTTAAAAGCTGTCAAACACATTTTTAGGATATTTTGTTTTGAATTTGAATGTAATTAAAACGTACAAAACAAATTGTGTTTCACTTGTGAGAAAAGCTTTCTCGTGTTAATGCACACTCGGTCTGACGGCCTCGTGAGCAACTTAATCAATCGCATGAAAAAGTCGCTTTTCATCACTATTAAAAGTAAATTAAAAATTAAATTATTTTAAAAACTGTTAAAAATTTAATTTAATTGTAACAGTAGCGGCAAAAGGTATAGCAGAAACAACACGTAATTGATTAGATTTAATACCGTGTAATTGTAGTTATTTAAAATCAAAAGATGATTATTTACCTCCATGTTCATTATCACTATCCAAACTGTCAGCAGACGCCATATAGGTCGATCCAGTTTGTTGAGGACCACTGCTTCCACTCGAAGAGCAGGAACCCAAACTGGTAAGGGAAACAGGTCTGGATGGTTCCGATGACGTAGTACTGCTCATGGTACCAACACTGCTTTCGCTAGGAACCTGGAACAAGAAGTAAAAGGAGTTTTAAAATTGGATATTATTATTTTTCTTTGCTATAAAATTTGAACCTAAAATTGTGTTAAAAATCTACAATAAAATCGGATCTTGCTGTAATCTTAACCAAATGGACTAGTCATAAAAGTAAATTGATCTCGAAGAATTGCTTCAGTTAGTGTAATGCATACAATCTTTTGTGCGGCAATTTAATTTACGACTAACGCCATTGATAAACCAAACTAGGAGTGCATCCGTTCCAAAATGAAAAACATTTAAGGCAAGACGAGGATCATTAAAACGAAATAATTGGACCGTTAAAAATTATCGACATCGACTTTCAGAATCTTTGTCATTTTTCGAGTAGGTGTACCTCTCACCACTGTTTGTTTATTGGTCAGAAAGTAACTTAAATAATGAAGTAGGTTTTTGTTAAAAACAATAACTTAAAACTTAAGCAGAAAAAATATAGTATCAGTCATGTAATATTGTTGCTGTGTAATGAACTGACAAAGTATTTAATTGAATTATTAAATAAAACAAAGTAAATTTGCATTACTTAGCATTCAATTGTCGTTTTATTAAATGACTCAACTCTTTACTTAACTTAAACATTGTAAATACTTCTTAGAAAAGCCACGTAGAAATTGTTAATTTAATTTCAAAATCCATTCGTAGAAACTTTTGTTTTAAATACAACATATGCATTAAGTTGTCTTTATATACTTCTATTGCATACAATTGGGTTTTTTATATTTTAATGATAACCATTATAAACGCTCAGCTTAGCAAGGGGAATAATAAACTCTTTATTCGCGTTCTTAGGCATCTGCACTGAGAAAAAACAATGATTATCTTAATCAAATATATAGTAACTTTTACTAAATATTCTGATTAGTATAGGCACAGCCATATTTACTGTTATGTTAACCATGTTTATATTGTAACAGTTTTATTGTCAATTTAACTATATTTTTGTTGTTGCACAAAACAATAATTTATTTAGTTATAATAATCATATGCAAATACCTTATAACCCTCTATATGGTTAAATATACTATACGTATGATATGTATAAACTTTCTGTATAGTAAAAACTACAACGACATATTGTTAATAATGTGTGACAACATTATATTGTTATTGTAACCAGATAATCTTATAATTTTAACCATCTAGTGTAGTACTAACAGTTTAGCCGTACATGATGGTTGTAATAGCCTAATCAAACATCTAACTTTACTATATTTTTATAACAATATTATTAGAGTACATATAACAATACTAATTTTACGTATATTGTTATTACAACCATAAGTTATAATTAAATGAACCATATTTTGCATAACAAATCTATATTGTTAGGGATTACAATATATTTTCTTAGAGTGTGTGATTGGCCGATTTCAATATTCACTGTTCTTTAAACCAATCGGGTTTTGAATTTGAATAAGGCAACTTAAATATTATTTAAAATGGATAAAAAGTAAGATTAATCATCTGACAGATGCCAGATTTTATTTATTAATTTTTTTAATCATTTAGGTATCTACTAATTGAAGTAGATAAAGCAGTGTATTGCACAGATTATGCGTATTATTCACTAGAATGATTTGCGTATCTCGTCTAGCGACTCGAGACGCAAACCTTATCCTCGTGGATCTAAGTTAATCTAAGAAGCCATATCTCAATTTTTGTTGTAATACTACAAAAGTTAATAACCTTTTACTCAACTAAAACATATTCCCACCAGTAAGTTCGTTTTTAAATCGTTCCAAACCATTATTAAAGTTGTCTTTATAAACCAACCATATAATTGTTCAATAAAATTTAATATTTTTTTATTGAGGGTAAGCATTTTAATTTATTTCACGTTTTACATCATCAATCTTTGACATCATGCAAAGCACACTTGTTTTAAACAATAAAAGGCTATTTAGTTTAATTTGTGGTATTACTTGTTTTGCAACGAATAGCTCTAATTTTTAATGCAAAATATTTTATTCAAATAGAATTTTTTCGTAAAATCAACGCAAATAATACACCCATCTCACAGTCAATCCGGGGACGCAATGGATATAATTTATTTTGACTAGATATTGACGAAATTAAAATACCTTTAAGGATAATTGGTTCAGGGCGCCCATTAAATTTTAGTGTTAATAATTGTAACACCAAACTTGTAAATTAATGAGAAACACATTAAAAGATCAAAGAGTGTGTGCGCTTAATTTCACAGTTTTTAATCACAAGATTGGAGCCGTTAAAATTAAAGATCAAGATTATTCTTAAATTAACTAAACCCTTTGGGCGCTTTTATCTAAAGACAACATGATTTAGCTAATAAAAAAATATCTTTAAGATATTTTTATATTTACAAAACTTTATACGCCATCTGAAAGGTATAGTCGAATTTTAAAAACAGCTTGGTTAAAAGTAACTGTTATTTTGGTCATTTACAAAAATGTAATTTTATCCTAAATTTTATTTTGACCACCCAAGAACTCGATTTTTTCACAATAAAACAAATTTCCAGGTTAACCACACAAATAATGAAATTCTTTCCTTACTTTATTAGATGTTTAAAAGAGACAAAATTATGGTTTTTCTCTGTTCAAATGTTCGTGAAAGTATGCAATTTTCAATAATAATTCGTATTATTATAAAATTAGTTAAACGGATTTGCTTTCAAAATTCTCGGGTTTGTTCCATAACATAGTTCTAACCATTTAATTTTTGCAATTAGCACTTTTTTACAGTTATCATTTAATTGTTTACAAGCATTAAAGTGTTAAAGATCAATGAAATGTTTATAGTAGACTAAAGATATAATTATAATACAATAAAATGGCCAACACTTACTTGATTGTTTTTCACGTTTAAGGGTGAGTTTAGCAAAATGTTACAAGAATACATTAGGTGAATATTACAAGAACATATTGCAAAAAAATGAAGTCAACCTATGTTTATATAAAGTTTTCTTCCTATTTTTGGCCCAAAAAAAACCGCCTGCACTGAAAGAAATTTATGTTTCATATATGGACTACCACATACATTGCTAAAACAAACATATAATATATTTACCTTAACCATTTTTATATTTAGTTTTAACATATTATGTTAAAACTAAATATAATATATGTTTGTTTTAGCAATGTATTTGGTAGTCCATATATGAACCACAAACATTGCTAAAACAAACATATATTTCTTTCAGTGTGTGTGTTATTGCACACTTTTTGCGGGACACCCTGTTTATGGGTGATTTCACCAAATAATTAGTCTGGCCTCGCGGAGTTATTGTATAAGTTTGAGAATATTTCTTAAACTTTTTTGTTTTTTTTTTTAATAATTTAAATAATGTTTTATAAATATATACATTTATATACAAAACGTACTGTTTTTTTGAAAAAAATTGTTAGCTAACGGAATACCCTCGAAAATTCAATTAGGTAAAATGAAAAATGCGATTTTTTTGGCCTTTCGGATCTTTTTTTTTAAATTTGATATTTTCTGAGAATTTTTTACACAAAATATGTCATTATCATGGGGATATTTTTTGTTTAAATACAATTAAATAATAAAGTATATTTTTTTAAATAATTGAGGTTATGCATCTGTCAATTTAACGTCAATTTTATCTTATTTCATGAAAATAATATAATATATGAAGGAGTGGAAGGGTACAAGTGCATTTTAGCCTAAAAATAAGTTAAGTGCAGAATATGGTAGTTGGATGTCCAAATATTAAAAAAAAACTCATAACGTGAAAATTGCATGATTAATGCAAACAACAATATTGAAATAAGTATTGAGATTGTTGTAAATAAAAAAAACTTTAAAAGTTAACTCCACTTCTCTTTTATGCACTTGTACCCTTTTGCTTCTTACCCCTTCAAATGTTTTAGTGACATAAAATAAGTTTGTACAAAAATACGTATACCTAGGTATATTTTATTATTTTCAGAAAATAATACAAAAAGGGCTTTATTATTTGGTTGTATAGTACAAGAAATAACGCTATCGGGAAAATAACAATTTTTTTTCGATCGTATATATAACAATTGTCATATAGCCTATATAGAAATATTTATTATACACCACCGTAGGCGTTTTTTATTTGCATATAAATATTAATACCATGTTCCTATTAGTTTAATTTTATGTCAATATTTTTCTCATACACTGAGAGAAAAAAATGGTTTTTATTACCAAATCTGCATTTTTATAACCAAATGCTTTATTCAGTATTTGACTTACAAACGGCTACGTTATTAAAAACAAATGATTAGCTTCAAGACATTTGGTCATATTTACTTAATAATTTGTTTTTGGTTATTAAAACCAAAGCAATTAGTCGTAATAAATAAGTTATTTATTTATAAGAATCAAATTTTTATTTAAAAAAAATATATTTATTTATAAAAAACAAATGATCTTTTTTTGTTAACAAATCGTTTTGTTTTAAAAAATAAGTAATATACAGGGTATTTTAGACTTGTGGTGCCAAAAGCTCAGGGGAGATTCCTCTCAAGTATGAAAAAAGTTTCTATGAACATGTGTCCGAAAATGATTCGTTTCCGAGATACAGGGTGTTTTTTTTTTAATTGAGTTTTTTATTTATAGCTTAAAAACACTTTTTTATACATTATTATGATTATTTTTGTAACAAAAAAGTATCAAATTTAAACTTTTTTTTTAAATAAAACACCCTGTATCTCGGTAACGAAGCATTTTCGGATACTTGTTCATAGGAACTTTTTTTTCATATTTTGATGAGAGGAATCTCCTTCGAGCTTTTGGCACCACAAGTCTGAAACACCCTGTATTATTAAAACAAAAGAAGTATTTTTATAATTTAGCGTTTTTATAAAAATTAGGGTTTTCTATATTAAATAACAATCGGCCATTGATAACAATACATTTTATTTTAATAAAAAATAAAAAACATTTTCCTTAAAAAATATGTTTGCAAACAAAAACTTTTTTTTTTGGTAAAGTAAACTAAACATCTTAAACTTAAGTAAACTAAACATCTTAATTTAAAATTCTTAAACCTAAAAAACATAACTCTGTTAAATTATTTTCAATCAAAAATGTATCCATATTTACCTAATTTAGGTATAAACTATACAGCACGTCCGGACTCCCTTTGCACAAACTAACACAATGGCCGAACTAAAGCATCTACGGCGAATAATCAACGTGTTTTATCCTGCATTTGTTTTTATTAAGCAAGCAACAACTCGATTTATTCATACAAACTCTATTTGAAAATGGTTTGTTATTATTAAACTATATTTGTTTTTTATAACCAAATACAGTGAACCAAATCATTTTTTCAAAATAAACTTAAGTAATTCTGAATATAGTTACTAAGAAGTGCTGATTTGGTATATAGAAGAATTATTTATTATATTTTACCAAATATATTAAAACAAATCATTTTTTAACTATACCCAGACTATTTCTCTCGGTGTAGTAATTAGTAATTATTGTTGATTTTTATTCTGGCTACAAAATCGTTCCTACGTATTTTTTTTTTAAATAAAATTTAGTATAGGGTCGTTTTGAGGGGTAGTGTACCGTGCATTGATTTTTTTTTAATCTCTAACATGAATTCCTAAAAATTTACTCTTAAAAACATAGTAGGCCTTGTATTTTTTTAAAAATTGTGTTTTTTTGCTCCAAAAATACAATATATCAATTTCTACACAAAAAATCCGGTGAAAATCGCACAATAAATAAAGATCTTACAGTGGTAAGTCGCACAACTTAATTATTGCCTTTTTTATTTTAATTTATGTATTTCATTTAATAGGCTTGTAATTAAAAAATAATAATAATGATATATATTAAGAAGACCACACGTTTTTTACTTGAAAAGTGGAACAAGTTCTGTATTTTAAACAATTTTACCCTGCATATAAATATGTAATAAATTTCGTTCAAAATGTGTAAAATGTAAATACATTGTGTAAGAAGTGTAATCAAGTGCCATAAATTATTTCTTACGTTGCAACGTTACAACCTGTTGCATTGACTGTTTTCGGTGGGTGTAATTTAATGTTTATCTTCAAAAATATTAACTCGTCTAAATGACCTCGTTGGGTAACTGAATATTAAATAAACCAAAATACACCTATAGGACTATTCGTATTGTCAAAAAAATTACTAGAAAGTAGTGGGCGACTCGTTCATTTTATCAGATGTGACATTTGGTGGGTGTTAAATATCTTAAAGTACGTTTAAATGTTATTGATTGAAGTGGAAAATGATAATTTTAAGTTCTTTATTCACAACATTTAAATAAAAATCGGTGTACAAATGTGTACTCTGGCAAAGGTAGACTTTGCGATAAACAAATAATTAAAAAAATATGATTTTTTAACCAATTTAAAAAAAATCAGTTAGAATTTTGGTAAATATCCTTTTTAAATCTCCAAAGAGAGCCGATCAAAAAACTTTAACCAGTTTTTCGTTCAAAATTAAAAACTACAAAAAGCCTAAATTAAACAACATTTTAAATATTCTCTAAGCGTTATTTTATTTAATTTTATTAAAAATCTATTTTTTTATAAAAGGTTAATAAGAATGCCATTTTGTTACCTGATAAACGTAGAAATATATATAAAAAAAATGGGGATAAATCTTTTTTGCGTGTTATGCCAAAATCATGAATTTACGCTTTTGCTTTAATAAAAATAAGCGATTTTTGGGTCAACCTGTATATATCAAATGATGTGAACAGTATTAAAAAGTATTCTTTAAGTCTCCTCAATAATTTACTCAAATTTTATAAAAATCGGTGAACAAATGTGTACTCTGTCAAAGGTAGACTTTGAAATAAACAAAAATTAAAAAAAAATCATGAATTTTCAAAAAATTTCGAAAAGAGGAGCAGCTAGGATTTTGGTAAATATCATTTTTAAATTACCGAAGGGTTCCGAATAAGAAACTCTAATCAGTTTTTGGCGGCACTTAAACTTCGTTCAGGCACACCGTGTATTAAAAACGATAAGTTATTTAATTTTAAATATGCAAAATATTATAATTTTTGTGGGATTATTAAAAGAAAAAAATAAGACAAATAAAAAATCTCAAATTAACAACCAACTATCAAAAGTGCAAATAAATGAAAGTCCACGTAATATCATTTGATGTGTTGTAATGAAATTATGTCATTGCCTTTAATATGTTATATGCCTACGCTTGACTTTCGTTTACGTACTGTTTAAAAGTTAATCTGATTAATCTTATTATCTTATCGAACTCGATCAAGATTTGATATGGAATTATATTATTGCAAATTAAATGTAAATAAACATATCTTTATGTTGCAGTGTGGTTTCCTTTGGACTTTATATCATGTATATTTTATTTTTATTTCACCGCAATATCTGAATCATCTTTATACAGTATTACCGTAATAAGTATAATTTATTATAATGCGCTCGTGAGGAGAAAATCACAAGACAAATCGCCAATTTGTTCTCTTTAAATAAAAACAACAATAAAGATATTACGCCACAATAATTTTACATTTTCTCTGTTTATTTAAAGAGGTCGTTTTTATTAAACAATTGTATTTTTTGATGAACTGAAATTTTAAAAATTTAAGCTAGTCGTAGCATTGTTGCCACATTGCAATTCAATGTTTACAAAACAAAAAAGTGTGCGGAAGTAAAAAAATGTGTATTTATTTATATTAGAAGAATTGCTAGTTCGTTAGTTAGTAAGTTTGTGAAGCTGGTATAAATAAAGCCTTTAAAAAAGAAAAAAAAGTTGTGTATATTAATGTCGACAAATCTAGAAAGTCTATTTTAGTTTCTACCAACCTATTGAGCTGAAATTTTGAAAACACTTTGGGTAATGGTGACAATTAGGGTAGGGTTTGCTTGTACTTGAAATTTCACTTGAAATTTTCATGACATTTATGAAATTTATTAAAATTTCCTAAATTTCTGAAATTTCATGAAATTTATGAAATGTATTGAAACTCAATAAATTTCAATCACTTTAAGAGTAATATATTAATATTGAAATATGCCCACTCGGGGACCATGGCAAATTGCCTCTCTTACCTCCTACCCCTCTGTGGCCCCTGCACCAATAATATAAATAGTAAATACCTATGTTTACCACAAATTTCTTGAGATTACCTTTTAGAATATATTTAAAATTACTAAAACTAAAAGAGATATAGCACTTTTTGGTAAGCTAATGAGATTGTGCCACTTTCATGGTTTTATATTTATATATATTTATTATTTTTAAATATTTTACTGAAATTTTACGAAAATTGAAGAAACTTCATCAAAATTTTATGAGCCAAAGGCATTTTTTATCCGTTTTCCGATGCAATTATAGCAAAAGCAAAAGTTAAAAAAATTTTAATTAAAATAAAATTGGTAACTGAATTAAATTATTTAAATTAATTTATGCATATAAGTAAAGGTCCCAAGGGAGGGCGCATGTGAAATTTATGCGAAATTTTCAGTAAATTGCGAAACTTTCAATGAAATTTCTGAAACTATTACAGGCAATGTTGAAATTTTCGGATTGAAAATTTCATTTGAAATTTTTAAAAATTTCACTTTTCCAACTAAATGAAATATTTCAAGTTTGAAACTTTCAAAGTTGAAATTTTCATTTGAAAATTTCAACTATCCCAACCCTAGTGACAATACAATCTAGTACCAACTCAATATTGAATATTGAACAATAACAATAAAAATACAAAATTTTTAAGATTTACAAAATTTTTAAAATTCCCAAAATTATCAGAATTTCTAAAAACTTTAAGATTTCGTAAACTTTTACCTGTTAAAATTTTTAAAATTTCCAAAATTGGGAAAATCTTAAATAAAAAGACAAAAAGTAAGAAATAAATAATGATGGCAAAAAACTAAAAAACCTCCTAGGCTGTAAAAATAAGCACTTTGTGTTTTGTTTAACATATCACACTGTTTAAAAATCTGTGGTGCATGTAAAGAGTAATCTTAAAATGGTGTCAAAATCCAACATCAAGTGGTGTTAATATAAACACCATGAATTATGGTTGAAAATGTTATACAGCAAACACCAAAACGGTGTTTATCTTAAAATATCTACACAGAAAAAAGGAATATCAACTGTGGGAAGGTTAATATAAACAAAGATTAGTTTGACGGTACTAAACCAGATAGTTATTTTTTTTTTTTTTTTAATTTGTTAAATTAACCCAGAAATTTTAGTGAAACCAACCCGCTGTATGGTTCAGTTTACTAAATATGTTGTTTGTAAAATAAGAGTTACTTCAACCTAAAGCACTCTGTTAAAAGAGTTTGCCGTGCATTCCTGGTTGCGTAGTATGTACCGATCGCGGCAAAGGCGGTGTGGATCACGTGATGTTCTTAAATCTCACCTCTGTTGACTTACATGAAGAGTATATAAGCTCAGGTAGTCCTTTGCTTCGGTGTGACACTACAAGTTGTTCGATACTAAAGATACCTTAAATAGGTGGAAACAGCTTTCAATACTTGAAGTATTTTAAGTTGGTGGAACGCACTAAAAACATTATCTCTAGCGAGTTGAAGGTTCAATTTTCTGGAATAATACCACTGGTAATATACTAGTAATGCGTCAAGGAACTTCCTGTTTCCTTTTTTTTCTTTTTTTCTGTGTAGTATGATTTAATTTAACTAAAAACACATAATATTTAAAAATGAAAAGGAGTTCAATTTTCACCAGGTAAAATTTATTTTAATACTGTGCGAAAGTTAAATTAACACCATTTTGGTTTGTATCGATATAGACCATGTATGGTGTTAATTTGGTGTTAAAATGGTCATGAAATTTTGAACAGTGTAGCTGGCGCAAGGGAAAAACCTATTTTCCTAACTCAAAAAATGTATAGGTACTATTTTCTTACCTGAAGGTATTTTCCAAGGTTCTTCCTCCCGACCGGCGTTCTGGAGGCAATACCATGCGCCGAATGCAGATAACTCCCCAACGGTTTTGGATTATAGTCGTCCGCACTGTTTTCACAATGTTCACTGAATTTCTCACTCAACCCCGAATGCGCGCTACTGAACTCCCTCTCGCAGAACTGATTGTCGTTAACGTCCGCACTGAGCGAGCGTTTCAAGTATTCCTTGTAGAGGAACGAACTGTTCTTGTTCGAGGACATTTTGCTCGGGTTGATCACCAGTTCCGTGTCGGGCAGATTCGATATTATCTTCTGGACGTTCGGCGATATTCTCTCCAAGTTTTCGGTGCTCTTTTGCTGGCTCACGGTGACGGTTCTCTCCGGGGAGCGCAGCGATCTGAAGGCGGCCCTTTGGGGGCCGAAACGCCGCGGTCCCAAGGTCTCTTCGGAGCTGAAGTGCTTGCTGATCTCCTGGTCCGGCACGTGCGACAGGATCTTCTGCACCCCCGCCGACAGGTTGGCGAAGTTGTTCGCTTGATAGCTCCGTTTTGGTGCGACTCGTTGAGTCTCTTTGCTGCTTTCAAAAGACGACTTGGAGGATATTATGGCATCGAATGCGCCCATAATACTCGGCATCAGGTCGGTCGTGGACTGGCCTGGAAAAACGAGAGATGGATTTTTTACGTAACAGTTTTAACCAAACAGATAAGATAATATAGTGCTTAGTGCGACTAAATGCAAATACGAGACAATGGTTTTGCAATGTATAATAAAATTTGTATTTACATTATGATAATTTTTTTAATACATACGAGGAAAAACTTGCTCCTATCTACGACAAACAAAAACACCAAATTGTAGGGATGATTTTAGATAAATTTTAGTTAAAAATGCTTCTTAAGGCAGTTATTTTGGAAAAATGAACCATTAAAATTGTATTTTATAGTTGCTTATGTCATAAGGCAAAGAAGTGAGTCTTTTTGCGCTAAATTCAAAGTGTAGCGGAGGACCACAATAGAGCAAAGCACAAAAAGACATGAAATGTTTTTTTTTAATTTAAATCAAATTTTGTATACAGGGTGGCCGATTTATCTGAAGACATTGAAATATTTCGAAAACTACGCATCGGATCAAAAAAAGTTTTGAATAAAATTTGTTCGCCTGGAAGGGGGACATCCAATGATACCAAAGTCGACCCCTCACCACCACCCCATGGGGTGGGGGGTGGGGGCAACTTTAATATTCTAAATAGGAACCCCCATTTTTTATTGCAGATTCGGATTTACTATTAAAAAATAAGTAACTTTTATGGAAAAACTTTTTTTAAATTCCTGATAGATGGCGCTGTAATCGCAAGAAACCCGATTTTTGGGAATATCTTAAAAAATTACACATCGGATCGAAAAAAAGAAAAACTTGTTTAATTTTTGGATTTTATTCGTATATCAATAAGTTAACATCTATTTTTAAAATTACCCAAGAATGGGAAATCCGAATCTGCAATTTTTCAAGATATTCCCAAAAATTGCGATTACAGCGCCATCTATCAGGAATTTAAAAAAAGTTTTTCCATAAAAGTTACTTATTTTTTAATAGTAAATCCGAATCTGCAATAAAAAATGGGGGTTCCTATTTAGAATATTAAAGTTGCCCCCACCCCCACCCCATGGCCATGGGAACATGGGAACATCAAAAGGAATTAATTAATTTAATTTATTTTGAATTCCCTTACAATTCTCGTATACACTAATTATATTTTTTAATGGGAAATCCGAATCTGCAATTTTTCAAGATATTCCCAAAAATCGCGATTACAGCGCCATCTATCAGGAATTTAAAAAAAAGTTTTTCCATAAAAGTTACTTATTTTTTAATAGTAAATCCGAATCTGCAATAAAAAATGGGGGTTCCTATTTAGAATATTAAAGTTGCCCCCACCCCCACCCCATGGGGTGGTGGTGAGGGGTCGACTTTGGTATCATTGGATGTCCCCCTTCCAGGCGAACAAATTTTATTCAAAACTTTTTTTGATCCGATGCATAGTTTTCGAAATATTTCAATGTCTTCAGATAAATCGGCCACCCTGTATATTAATAAAGTGTTTTGTGCAGGTTTATGGGACCTTTTTTGAACATTTTAAAAGAAACTCGTGTCGAGTCAAAATGAATTAAAATTCCTTCACCTAATTTGCGTAAAGAAACTCCGTTCGAATTGGTCCAATATTAGGCCAAAATATCTTTCGTCAGATTTTTTTTAGCATGGTCCAATATTGAAACCCGAAGTTGTTTGACATTATATAGGTACTTAAGGGAGTAGAAGCGGGGAGCGGGTGACAATGCCCACCCAAATGATAAAGGGGATATAAAATTTCCCCTTCAAATTCTTTGAAAAAATCTACCAATAAGAGAAGTCGTGTACCGTCTATGTTATTCTTAATTACGATGAAATGCTAAAGTCGTGTGTATCGTGTGCTAAAATGATCAGCTTTAGCTTTATTAACGTAATAACGAATTTTATTGCTAATAACACAAGAAATCGCATATTACCCTTGTTATTCTTACGGTAATATGCAAGAATGGCCTTTATTATTTTCACCCATTTGGTGCTAAACAATAAGGATGGTAGTCGGTTGCGCCACCCCCCAACTTAAAACCGTTCCTGCGCCACTAGTATAGACATATCCTGGAAACAAACGTGTGTCGTTACTAGAGGTAGCGATATTATCGATAGCCTATCGATAGTTTCGATATTTTAAAAACTATCGATTCTATCGATAGTTACAAACTATCGTCTAGCGATAGTAGAATCAAACAAAATTATTATAACTGTCGTTGTTTTTTTATTCGGAATTTGACGTCATTAAAAATTTGGGGTTTTAATTGGCAAAATCTAGGGACCCTAGATTTACCAACGGTAAACTGTCTCAAATATGTGCTGTCAATTATTTTATTGTTGATGTTTTGAAACTCGATAGTTATTATAGATTTTGATATAAAGGTTTTAATAACTAAGGTAGATATTTATATTGAAATACTATACCATGGAGCCTACACAAGGAGCCCGAACTTAATAGGGTAAATTGACAAAACCTGCCCTCTAAATTGCACAAATTAAGTTTTTTCACCACCACCGGGGCTATTTGTCGATACGTACTGACGTCTGCTCTTTTGGTAGCGTTTCGGCACAAATAAGTCAATTGTTTCAGAATAAACGGAACACCAGCGCCCTCTTATCTTAGGAAGATTCTTGTTTACATTAAGTTCGGACTCCTTGTGCTATATATACTACTATATTTTTGACTCTCCTGTATTTGGTAGGTTGAAAATGTGCCTACTATAAAAATAAAACCCTTATTTTTTTAATAAAATGTTAAACTATAAGATTTTGAAATTTTAGTAAACTATCGATAGTATCGATAGTCGCTTTTCTCACTATCGATGCTATCGATAGTCTACTTTTTACCACTATCGCTACCTCTAGTCGTTACATTTCACTTTTAGAAATCCAAAAGTATCGTTGACTATAGTTAATGATATATTGGCGTAAAATAATATGCCAATATAGGACCAACCTTGGATAAACATTGGAAAGATATATTAACTTATCATTTTATGCCAATATAGGGCTAAAATCGGCTAAATAAATCCAATATTGGCCCAGATAAAATATTGGGCATAGACGCGCCCCATATAGGACCAATATTTTGTGCTACTGGGGTTGCTACTATTCTACTTCCTTTATTATTGGAGTAACAAAGTCGGTTAAATTAACAAATTGGTGGCATTTTTTCTTCTGATTTAAATGGTAAAATCGAAATATTAACAAAAATAACATTTTTTAAATGGGACACCATGGTGTCCTGCAGGAATATTAACAATGTGCAATAACAAAAAATTGTTATTGCACACTGTTATAAAAATTAGTTTGTTAATTTTATTTTCTAAAATTTTAACATCATTTTTGTAAAAAGGAAAATATTTTAATGGAAGTTTTGTAAAGGTAATATGCAATTGTATAAGCATTTTGTTAATTTCAAAGGTTACAGATTATTTTGTTAATGTTTAACAAATTATTTTATCTAAAAATTACAAGTGATTTTAGGCAGCCAATCAAAACATTTCCCACAACAATATGAATGAAAAAGTTCAACTGCATCTGCAACTTATGTTTCTGCTTACTTTATTCCAATTCGTAACGTGTTCGTATACGGATTTCTTATATCTATTTAACGAGTGTGCGAAGTGCAAAGTATCCGAAAAAAGATGACTGGTTTTAAACTGAAATTAGGGGATACAGTGAAGGGGGTTAAAATTACGAAATATATAAATAAATATAATTTGATAATTTCAGAATGGTGTGTTATTTAATTGTGGGTATTTTATTTCTATGTTCATTTATGTAGGTATATGTTAATTTGTTTGTTTAGGAAATTGATTAATAAAGCTCTCTTATTAAAATTCTTTTTGTTGAAATCATCAAATTATATACAGTATGTCTCAGTATCTTGGAATCATATGGAAAACTTTTTTATTATTAATTTTAGGAAAAAAGTTATTCTTTATAAAAAGTTCTGCATGGTGTAAAACTTAAAATGCAACTCACAAATATTATTTTTTTTAGTCGTATACGGGGTGTGTCAAAAATATGAATTTGGCTCAAGAGTAAAGTACCTTTATATTTGACAATATCGAAAATTGTTATAAAGAAAAGTTAATCAGAACTAAAAACTACGTTCAAATATGCAATTACATCCATTTACATTAAAAAAAAAATATTTTTTCTTTTTTGTCTACAATATCAATGCAAATTTAACTGTAACATGTAATCTAGGATTCACTGATAAACAAATGATTTGTTGATATTCTAAAACTTTTTGGCCTGCTAGATCCCCTGACTTAACTTAAGGTTTTCATGTTTTTTGTAATCATAACAGATAAATGTTCATTTAAAATAGAAAGATTAGTAAAAATTAACAAAACCTAATTTTTTAATGTAAATGTATGAAATTGCATATTTAAACGTAGTTTTTAGTTCTGATTAACTTTTCTTTATAACAATTTTTGATATTGTCAAATATAAAGGTACTTTACTCTTGCGCCAAATTCATATTTTTTGACATACCTCGTATACGACTAAAAAAAAATTATATTTGTGGGTTGAATTTTAAGTTTTACACCATGCAGAACTTTTTATGAAGAATAACTTTTTTTCCTAAAATTAATAATAAAAAAGTTTTCCATATGATTCCAAGATACTGAGACATACTGTATACATACTGTAATATATTATATTATATATGTATTATTATTATAAGTTATAACTATATTTTTTTAACGGCAATCAGTGCTTATTAATTTTTAGTTTTTAAGTTAAGTTTTGCAATTATAATTTTTTTATAATATGTAAAAATATACAGGGTGTGCTTGTATATAACGTAAACTAATTACTAGCCTCATAAAAGTGTTTTTCTACTCCCACCTTTAAAACGACCATTATCGTACATGTTTACATGATATATCACTTAGTATACTAAGTGACTTTTTAAATACACATTGACAAGTTGTGGCTTTATGGCGTTTTAGTCACGGGCTGAAGTTAGCAACAGGTTTTTAGTCACGGGTTGAAGTTAGTTTTAAGATAGTTGACAGTTGTCAAA